CAAATAAATCCATATTTCCACTTCACTTCCCTCATATTGGGATCCGATTGCATCTAAATAATGACTTCTTAACAATCCATTCTTTTACACATGGCTTTTCGTCCTAATTTATTTGACTTTCACAGAAGTGTCTTTCCTTTCTCCTCCACCATCATTCATCTGGGCTCTGTCGAGAGCCAAACTCAGCTCTGCCTCCCTGGACATGTTTCTGATCAATGTGCCAAAAACCTGGGAAGAGCAGACCGGCCACTTGCACATCCCACGGGGCCCTGGGCTTCAGAGTGCCTCTTGCTGGGTTGCTAAGGCCTTCTTGTTGGTGACGAAATTCTTTACTGGTTTTGCATTTTATTTTGCAATGTGCCCTGCGGATTTTGTAGAGAAATATGTGAGTACTGAGGTCCCCTTTTCACAAATGAACAAACGGATGCTCAGAAGCAGGAGCAATTCATCAGCTTGGATGCACTGAACAAGTGGTCGGAGTCTAAGCATCTAACATCCAAACTTCTTCCACTGTGAGCAGACCCCACACCCTCCCAAGGGCCCGGCCCCCGACCCGACATCACACCCTGGGAAAGCTTCCCCTGGAAGGCAGGTTTTCCAGCAGGTGCAAAGGAGCCAGGGCCGCTTTGTGTGTCTCAGTAGAAGACTCGTTTCTCTGGCTGACCTCCGCCTGGGCCTCGCCCTGTGGGCAGGGGATGGTGGCTGAGCGGAGGGAGGAGCAAGGGACAGACAGTCCTGTGCACACATTTAAACTGAGGTGTGATTCTGATCAAATGAGCCTTTCCGGTACAGGCGGCCTCACAGTCTCTGCCGGTGAGAATTCTGTGCTGAGCGAGCCTTTCCTATCGCCCTCGGCCCCTGCTCTGTCCCCCAGGATGCCTGGGGGAGTCAAGGACCATGACCTCGCCTGCCGGGGCATCACTCCCCAGGCAGCCACAGCTATGGCCCTGTCATCAGGAGCAGAGCGACAATGCCATTTTCTGCTCCAGCTGGACAGTCTTTTTCAAAGCAAAATAAAACGTCCAAGATTCCAGTCCCTTTGTTTTCTTTGCCGAAATGTCTCCTTCCTTCTGGTGGATTCCTGCTTTGCTATCGTTCTTGCAAAAAGGTATTTGGCAGGCTTGGCTCGCGGAGTGCCTGTGTACAAAGAGCACTGCCCGGTGATGATACAGAAGGAACTGCCCAAGGCCACTGTGCTCCCAGGACCTGGTCTTGAAGTGTCAGTCATGAAGCATCACTCACGTACAGCTTCTCCTACGTGAATGAAAGCATGAAGCTTTTTTCTCTTTTCCCTGTTAATAATTACGTTAGATAATAACAGAAGCTGTACAGCCAGAGGGGAACACACAGGTTACTGATACAAACCAAAGGTCCTCACAATTCGGGGTCCATGAAGCACACAAAGAACTTGTTTTCCCAGAGAAGGAACACAAGGACCCACGGTGAAAGCCTCCTTCACTGGGTCACCTACCTTAACTGTGGTTCGAGGATGACATAGCTCTTCACGGCTGTACCCAAAGTTGTCTCTACTGATGGCCCACCATGTTGGACAGGGAGGAAACGGAGAAGGCAAGGTTCCTAGGCAGCACCAGGCCTGTGACGTGAACGCACGTTGGTGCCCCACTGTCACTGTCTTACAGGCAACTTCCTTACACGGGGACCCGCATTTGCAACCCTGGCCCTGGGTCCCACAGATTATGTAGCCATCCGTGATACTTGGCCAGTGCTGCTGCTTGCCACTAAAGTCCCCAAATTCCTCCCCATGTGCTGCGGAATCTCTTTGTTCTCTACTAAAACTTTGAAGACATGCTTTATGTGCACATACATGTAAATATGTCTGTTTTTACAGAGTTATGAATAAATCAGAGAAAAGAACCTGTACAAGTGCATTCTGAATTAGAGTGACAATGTAATAGAAAAGCTCCTGAATCAATTTCACATCCATTTCCAGGCACATTCGCTCCATCTGTTCCAGTGTAATTTAATATTTGTCACCTCCATCTAGGACAAGATGTTCTTGGATGACTTTTCAGCTCATCCAATCAGCACCTGACGTAATGGGAGACTCCCAGTCTTTGGGTGCTCCATGCTAGAAGTGGAGCTGCTTTGTCAGTACTAGCAATGTCCCATCTCTGACCTCTAGTACCAGTAAACAAAAGATTCACTGTTTTATAAGTTGTAAAATTTGGTAAATTGACTTTAAAAGGATTCCTTTAAATAATTTGGAATATGGGGCCGGGGATTTAGCTCAGTGGTTCCACCACCAGTGGAAGGACCTGAGTTCAATCTCCGGTACCAAATAATTAATAATCATAATAACTTGGGATGTGATTGTACTAAGCCATCAGTGATGCACTCTATGTCACCAGCGTGTCTGCTTTTCTGATTGCCAGGGACACTCTAGGGAGCACAGGGTGCCTGAACGGTCACCTTCAGAGTGGAAGAAGAGGAAGAAGGCAGAGAGCACCCGTCCCTCCTGGCTTAATGGTTCCCTGGGCCCCGGGAATCTGAGGAAAAGGAACTGGAACCTGATCGCATCTTCAGGGCTCACCCACTCGTATGGGGCTGATTTGCCACAGGGCTAAAGCAGTAGATTTCTGAAGTAAAGGGACAAATAGTAAATATCTTAGGCTTTGTGACCTATAACTTCTCTGCTGCAGTGACTGAACTCTAGTTACTATGCAAAAGCAGCCATGGACACTATGTAAGCCAATGAGAGTAACTGAATTCCAATTAAAAATAAAGAGAAGGAGATAAGAAAAGCCCACATGGAGGATGGATGTGGCTCTCTGGTCATGGCTCATGAACTCATGCACCCTGACCTACAACAACCTTCTGTATTCACCTATTCTTCCACTTTCTGCCTTGCTAGAGAAGGACCTCCTAACATCCCATGCCAGAAGTAAATGGCTAATAAAGCTGACTATGTAGCCTCCCCTATGCATCTATGTCAGTGGGCGATGGGCCAGGGGTGGGAGGGTTAAACAGAATGACGAAGGCAGCAGCTCTGCTTAAACTAAGACAAAGGAGCAAAGTCCTGCGTTTGCACTGGGAGGGGCTCATGGCCTGTCTGACCTGTGTCATATCATATAGACCATGCCTTTACCTTTCAACAATGTTCCACCATCACTTCAATTCCACCCACAGAGGGAGCTTCCGAAAAAATACATCGATCTGAGGGTATGTCAAACGATCCAGCAAGAGATGATGAAAAGGCACCTTCACTCTGCTGCAGAAGTGTCCTCTCCTGATATTTCCATTCCCAAGGGAAGAAGTTTCTGACGGGTCCCCAGCTCCTCTGCTCACTTTCCAGGAAATGACTGCAGACTCCCGCTGACACCCCCACGCTCTTCCAAGTCAGGATTTCCGCTGGGCTCCAGTTCGGGCTGGCTCGGGCTGCGGAGTTTACAGAGATAATGGTAGTGTCAGCTCCTCTGGTCCCGGTTGTCATGGGACCACAGGCCTGGGAAGGCGGCACCGGGACCCAGGTAGAGTAGACCCTTCAGGCCTCGTACCCGGGAGGGTAACTCGTGCGCACCTGCCAGCTCTGTCTCTCTGGCAGCCGCTGGAGCTCTCCAGGAATATCAAACAGCTGGCCGTGCCCCTTCCATCTGGCAGTTTGCATGCCCCTCTGGCTTCCCCCTTCCTTCATCCGTTATTCACAGGATCCTTCCCTGTGGGCATGGATTCCGTCACATGAGCCCTCCCAAGAGGCCCACATCCACCCTAGAACATACACTTCTGTCCCCTGTTGATGGAAAGACAGGCTGTTTCCAGGGTGCCTTCTCTCCCTTCTGACAAATCAAGTCAGAACCTGTCTTCACCCTCCCTCGGCGTGAGTCAAGTATTAGTCAGTGTCTTCCTCAAATCCCAGGGCTCAAGATCTTTACAGGTGTTTCTTGAAGATTCCCTTACTTATCACAAGGTAGAAAGGAAGCAAATCGTTCCCTCTCCCGTGGGGCAGAGCCAACCACAAGCATGGCTCTTCCTGCGGGCCTGGCCCGCCCCCGTGGACTCCATCCTCTTCCTGTGTAGCCCACCAGCCACCGTCAGCCTGCCAGGGTGCAGCTTCCTGGGTCGGGTCGGCGGTGGCCTTGGGGTTCGTGCTGAAACTGAGGACAAGCGCAGCTGGCCAGGCTTCGGGTCACAAGTGCGGGGAGCGGGTTACCCACGGGAAGCGGGCTCTGACAGGGCAGCAGCGCTGCCGGTTGACTGAGGTGGGAAATGTGCCCCGCGCTCCCCTCCGGGCTCCCACTCTGGAGTCTGGGGGGGTCGCGAATGCGTTGACGCTTCACAAATGCTCCATTCCTCCTGCCGTGAACTCAGACTCAGGCTGGGGCGGCAGTGGTCCCCGTGGGACTCCAAAATAAAGCGCGGGTGATCTACGAAGGCCTCCTGCCAGCCTGGGGCTGCCTGTTTTCACAGTTCTTGTTAGATGACAAAAGTAAACCTTTTATCTGTTTAAGCTATTGAATTGATTTTTTTGTTATTGGGTCAGAACAGAACAAACTCACGCGTTTTTATTTATTTTTTATTCACTGATAGGCCTCGGCCATCTTTTTGTATCAGTGCCGAAGTCAATGTGGATGGACCACATGGCCAGGTTTGACTTTGTCACATGGCAGCGGCCAAGTTAGCAAGCAGAGTCATTACACAGAAGCATTCAGGCTGTTGCTCTTGGAATATGCTCGCGTGCAAAAGGTAGAAATTGAGACTGGTTGATTTAAGCAGAAAAAGGATTTACTGGGGAAAATTAGGTAATTCACAGACTCCCTAGGACAGATAAGGTAGAGATTCAGAAAACGGGAGAAGAGATCTGGCGTGCGAAGGCCAGGCGCGGCCTCGGAGCCCGCCGAGGAAGATGGCTGCTGCTCGCTTCGCTCCGGAAATCGCGGCACCAGCGCCTCCGGCCCTAGTTCGATCCGGACGTTGCAGCTGTTCAACCCCTGTACTTCCTGTTTTCCAACCGCCAAACAAACACACTTCCGCCCCTCCCTTCTAACTACTTCCGCGGCAAATCCGCGCCCAGCGCGCCAGAGCCTCTCTGCTGCCCTGCAGCCGCCTGGGGTCTGGCGGGGAAGCAGCTCAGCCGGCAGCTGCTGGGTGTGCTCAACTCTCGCCAAAGCTCAGCACCCGGAATGGGGCCTCCTAAGTGGAAAAGGGGGCTCAGAGGCTGTGGAGCCAAAGTCACAGGAAATTACTAAGGTCTCCTACACCCTTCAAATAGATCTTTCTGCCTTTGCAGGACGTGTCTGCAGGGTAGAACCTTGACCCCAGGTATCTGGATCAAATATTTATTTGCTTTTCAAATTACAATGATCTTTCCAAATTTCTCTTTCAAAGAATCTGTGATAATTTATAATGAGTGCATACAAATTTTGATTTTTTTCCCATACTTTTAAACATGGGGATATTTAAAATTATTGAAGTCAAAGGTTTGTATAGACGGCATTGAAGCCCGTTAAGAAATGCTTGGTTGGGATAGCCTAATCATGCTGTGATTTTTTTAATCTTAATACATGTAGTTTACTTTAAAACCACAAACAACATTTTCAAAAATAAGTACAAGTATTATTAATAAATTTACTTTAAATCTTTAAGAAGATGCTGAATTTATCCAATGGTATTCATTAATATAATTAATTAAATAATGTAACTGAAAATATATCATTACACATGTGTACATGTAGCCATACAAAGCTATATATAAAGGAAATATGAGTATATGTATATAGTTATGTATACATAAAGAATAGCAAACTAAGAAGCTTATTTTTTCACTGTGATGAGATCACTTTCCAGTTAACATAAAACATATTAATAGATTAAATGGGGAACACACTTTAACCAATATATTTATGTTGGGCAAGCTCTGACTTCCACAGTGAAATGCATCCTGTAGTGTTTTGTCTGGATTTCTCTTAGGTTTCTATCTCATGACATGTTAGAGCAACACTTGCTAAAGAAGTGGGTGCTAAAAATGATAATATAGTAATAATGGCAAAGGGCCATGGACTAACACGTTTGAGAAAGCTTTGGTTAAGCAAAATTAAATAGGACTTCTGTGGAAGAGCTCCTGTAAGTCCTCGTGTACAAACAGTAGTTTGAATCTCCAAATAGGGAAAATAATCAGAAGTTTTCCCAATAGATGAATCAGAACCTTTTCGCCATGGCACTATATCTGTTTTTGAACTGTATATTAAAATAGCTACTATCCAACTAATTTAAACAAATGTTATATAGTCGACAGTCCTGTTGAGGACAACAGCTGCATTATGATCCTGCGCAATATCACTAGCTAGAGATCCTGGCTATTAAAGACATGAAGTGACCGCCCAGTGTCAGCCGTCCCCATCTGCCTGAGGCTGAGCAAGCAAATGCATTAAGTCCATTTCATTGGAATCCAGACACTGGACATTCTCTAGTAACTCCTTTCAAGTCTTAACTTGTTCTGAAGTGTATGCCATCTAAAAATAATTTGCTATTTACACATTTCTTAATAATTTGAAAGCCTCTTTCAATAGAGTAATTATTATTTGAATCTCATGTCAGCATCTTATATCTCAGTTTAATCTCTGATTCTGAGGTGGGACCATTTCTAGAGAACAGAAGCAGCTTTCTGCTCTCTCCTCTCCGTGGTTTTGGATGGAGAGGATGTACATGACGGAGACCAGTCATCCATTTTTCTTCCATTTTCCACTTGTGTGAGTCGCTGGCATTGTCACATTTTGTCCATGCTGTTTGTTGGATTTCACTTCATGTGACCCTGTCAAACACTTACTATCTTTGGAATCCAAGACTCCTCACCCCACGAAGTATTACGTGCGTGGCACTCTGTGAATATCTGTACCCCTAGACGCCTCATTCATCTACGACTCGACTCTTCCAGGACTCAGACAGGTTTTCTAGCACATACTAATGCCTCACTTAATGCTTGTTGGACAAATAAGTGAATAATTATATTGTTGAAAGTTCTGCTTACTAGATCTATGTTTCTGGGAAAAATTTGATGTATCTAAAAATGCAGTTCTACAATTAAACATAATATAGGTACAGATGAGTTCTCTAGTCCACTATTTCTAAAACTCAAGTCTTACACATATGCACTTTTAATCAAGACAGAAGTTTATATTGATTTACGGTGTTGATTTAAACAACTTAATACAGCATTAATACTACATGATATACATTCTATATTGTAATTATAAGACATAATATGTGTAAACTCTAAGTGTACATTATATTTATAAATCCAGTAAAACAAAATAAAAATTCTACATAGATATAAGATCTCAAACCAATAAAATTTAAGTTAACATTAATTAATAAGACATATTAGGCTTGCTATTAAGAAATTGCCATCCAGCGCGGATTTAGCTCAGTGATTCCACTGCCTACCTCATAAGCCCAAGGTCCCGAATTCGATTCCCAGTACCAACAAAAAAAAGAAATTGCCACTCGAGATATTGTAGGGAGAGCAATATGGTATCATCTTCAAATTTAAACATGACTTTCAGTAGTTACTGTGTGGTGCCCCCATTTTCCTACCGCTTTTCTATGTCCAAGCTTCTGTAACACTTTCATCCCTTACTTGTCATAGCATTGTCCTGTGATTTTGATTACTTAGTGGAAAGAACATTTATATAATAAATGTACCTTTGTCTTTTCAACATTAGGCCATACTAATTCAACTAGTTCTGTTATTCGCTGTTTGATTAGCAAGAGGCACAAATATGCATGTCCAAACACCCACAGACAACAGTTATCAGACCACATCACATACTTGTAATAGTAGCATTATCAGTGAAATCAAGTCATACCGCTACATTTTTTATAATTAAAGCTATTTACTGAGGATATTACCAGTTTTAAATTACTGCTGAAATTAGAGGTCTTTAAATGCTTCCCAAGCTATATTTGCCAATGCAAATTTTAGAGTATAAAATTACTAACTCAAAACAAAATGAACAATTTGGTTTATTGAAGCAGGATATTCCTAGATCATAATAATTAATTAAGGCATTTTTCTGTGTATTTCAATATATATGTGACATATGTCACAATATATATGTTTATGTTCCTTGCCTGCCAACATCAGAAACAAGATAATAAACCCTACCACTAAAATTTGAAGATTAACCAACATTTTTTTAAAGCCATGGTAGAAGAAGAAATAGTGAAACAGTAGGAAAGATACAAATTCCTCTGAATATGCTTTGGTTTATAGATTTTGATCGTGCAACTATGCATACTTTATATGGTATAAAAAATATCAATATACATGTTTATTGTGTCCATCAATAACAGTGACACCATCATTTAATATTGATGCCACAACATTTTCTACTAAATGACAAAGAAATTTTCTATACATTAGTTTTAGTTTTTCATCTTTGAAAATGAGACAATTCTGCCATCTTCTCAGGTTGGCTGCAAGTTGTATAAGAAATTAAATGAGGACCTCGGCAGGCATCAAAGAGCCCCACTCCATCCCGCCCTCGTCCCGCCCCCCAGCCACCAGCATAGCTGTGAGTGCCTGCAGGACACACACACCCCACCCCACCTCCTGGCTGTGCCTCTACCTGGTTCCACACTACAGAGGCTCTGGGGGTATAAAGGCCATTGTCCTGAGCTGCAGAAGAGAACAACAGTTAGAGGGCCTCTCTCGGTCTCCTTGATGAAAACAGAAGTCCACTGAAAAAGTGAAGAGAATCTCTGCAATAAAGGCACACCAGACCACCGTACTTGGTAAGTTGGAGGGATCATCACCTCTTATCAGAACCTGGACTATCTTCAGGGGAAGGGCAGCTGGAACCTGCAATAGAACCTTGCACAGTTCAACCCTGCCGGAGGTCAGGGAGCTCAACTTGGGACTTGCAGCCAGAAATCTGCCTGAAGCTCATGGGTCTGCAACTAGCTTGCTGAGACTCATTGACATATCTGCGTACAGCTGCCCACATTGTCTATTGTGACAGCAGAGACATACCCTGAAGGAGGCCTTCATTTTTATTTTTAATTTGTTATTTTCTTTTTTTTTGTATTAAATTCTTTTATTGGTACATTGTAGGTATACAACACAATTACATTTCTCATTGGGAATT